TTACTTACTAATGTTATGACAATAGGTACTAGTGTACTTACTAATGTTATGACAATATGTACTGGTGTACTTACTAATGTTATGACAATATGTACTGGTGTACTTACTAATGTTATGACAATATGTACTAGTGTACTCTAGGGAAGGTTTGGTTTGTTTCAAATTTTGCACAAAGCTACTTTAAGGCTATCTGCGCTAGCCGTCCCTAATTTAACAGTGACAGACTGGAGGGAAGGCAGCTAGTCATCACTACCCACCGCCAACTCTTGGGCTACTCTTTTACCAACGGATTGACCGTAACATTATAACGCCCCCACGGCTGAAAGGGCGAGCATGTTTGGTGTGATGGGGATTCGAACCCGTGACCCTCAGATTGCGAGTCGAGCGCCCCCTAACCACATGGTCTCTATGGAAAAGAAAGAACTTCACATTCAACGTGAATGAAATAAACTCAATGTGTAATTAATATTTATTTTTTTTAATTATTAACTTGAAGTTTCACGTATTGACTATTGAAAACGTTAATTTATTTTTTATGAAAATCATGATCTTTCACTGTGGTTGTAGAAATTTTCATTGAGTTTTTTGTATCATAACTAGTATTTCGTTTTCTTTAACAACACACGTTCGCTCTGGTGTTGGGATAGATGCATTTCATTAAATAAATTAAAAAAATCTGGTTTATTAGTTTCACTTTTATGTATGTTTGTTTGTTTTGAAATTCGCGCAAAGCTACACGAGGGCTATCTGCGCCAGCCGTCTCTAATTTTAGCAGTGTAAGGGAAGGCAGCTAGTCATCACCACCCACCGCCAACTCTTGGGCTACTCTTTTACCAACGGATTGACCGTTATATTATATCGCCACCACGGCTGAACGGGTGAGCATGTTTGGTGGGAAGGGGATTCGAACCCGTGGCCCTCAGATTTCGAGTCGAGCGCCTTAACCACCTGGCCATTACTTTTATGTCGCCAGTTGTTAAATCAACATTACATAGAAGCTGTGTTGAGGAAAATAGAGTACGTTATTTTTTTCTACTATTATATTTACGTTCAATGGTTTAAAAAAAACCAGACTACGTGCATGTACGTATTATAGGGTTAACAAAATTCAAATACTTCCTTTTACTACACTCTATTTTAGTTTAAAAAATCAATAATGAAAGAACTTTTCATTAAAATAATATGGTATACATCCGTGAACGTATCACAATTATCTTTATAATTCAAGCAGAAAAAAAATTTATGACGTCAACCGGACCTTGTTCGAGTACACTATAATTTGTTTCTTTGTTTCTCTAAAAAGCTAAGCCTAAATATTCATACATAGTTTTTCTGATATGATCGGGTATTTTGATCTATCAGTAAGTAAGGAGTTCCAGTGTTATATGCGTGACGTCATTCGCTTCACAGCATAATGTTAGTCTCATTGGTTGGTAATTCAATTTTTTTTTTAAATCTATAAATATATTGTTGACATAATAAAAAAATTATCTTTAGATATTAGAAATACACCACCTTGTATGGGGATAATGTACAAAGCCTGTGTTTACAATGGTGGGACAAATCGCTGTAAACTTTATGATGTCACCTTTCCCAGTAAAATATAGTTCTTCCTCCAATGCCCTCATTAGTCCAATCACAGCATGTTTAGAGGCGCTGTAAACACAATGGAAACCTTCATTAGACCAATGAAGATAAAAGCTAAGCTAGCAAGGTCTTTCTTAGTGTACAATCCGCAGTTCATTATATCACTAAAATATACACTAGTACCGAATCTTCATTAGTCCAATAACAAGACGTTTTGGGTGTAAAATATGAAGGACTGGGACTGGTTTGATTTGCTACCAATATACACTTGCATATCATATACCGTCTAAAAAAAGGGGGGGTGGAATGAAACATATTTTTGCTAATTCAATATTTTATAATTGCTATTGGCTTAATATTTAGTAAGGAATCTACTGAGCTGAATAATTAATTCAAAATACAATAAAATAATCTTTTTTTACAATAGGCAAGATCTGATTTTAATAATTATACCGTTTCCAACCTTTGTATAGGGTCATTATCAAGGGCATACATCTCATAAGTAAGACTACAATAGGAAACTTTAGTCCCCGTATATCAACTTAATGATGTTGCCAAATGCATCTTCTTAAAACACAACAACAGTAACAACAACACTGGAATTATTCATAAGTATGACGTTGTTTGTAATAAAAAGCTTACATTGTTTCTACCGCTAGATGTCTCCGCTATATTAACTTTCCAGTAATCAAGACGTTATGCCTAGCTATTGATATGCAGGAGTTATGCAGTAATATTTTGCCCAGAAAGAAAAAAAAATCATAATATTTCTTCTGTTAGACGTTGACAAAAGCTTTCATTAATCAACTCGACTAAATGCATAGTAGAAGGTCATATAGGAAGATTTTTAAAGATTAGCAACTGAAATTCTTATATTATTATTTTTTTTACATTCTTTAGTCGATTAAAGATCAAAAAGTCGTTCTACATTAAACTGAAAACATTGTTTTCTACTGGGAATTTTCTGTTGGAACCAACATAACAGACTTGGAAACAACCAAGTAATTCCTCTGATCATTTTATATTTATTTACAAGACATCTTTATTTACCTACTATTGTATGCGTTGAATTTCAAATATATGAGACACGAATTGTGACACAAGATGATTGATTTAAATTGTCATTAGGTGGGGTCTCAAACAGATTTAATACAAGAGGCGGAATGTGTGTTTTTAGTTAAAAAGTCAAGATAAACACCATTTAGAAATGTATTCTCCTACAGACGAACCGGATGACTTTCAAATGTATTCTCCTACAGACAAACCAGATGACTTTCAAATTTATTCTCCTACAGACAAACCAGATTACGTTCAAATGTATTCTCCTACAGACGAACCAGATGACTTTCAAATGTATTCTCCTACAGATAAACCAGATTACTTTCAAATTTATTCTCCTACAGACAAACCAGATTACGTTCAAATGTATTCTCCTACAGACAAACCAGATTACGTTCAAATGTATTCTCCTACAGACAAACCAGATTACGTTCAAATGTATTCTCCTACAGACAAACCAGATTACGTTCAAATGTATTCTCCTACAGACAAACCAGATTACGTTCAAATGTATTCTCCTACAGACAAACCAGATTACGTTCAAATGTATTCTCCTACAGACGAACCAGATGACTTTCAAATGTATTCTCCTACAGACAAACCAGATGGCTTTCAAATTTATTCTCCCACGAAATATTAGAGTGAACTTTTATATGAAAAGCTTAAAGAACAGAGATGAAATAAATTTACACGATGTTCAGTTTTTACATAATAAAACTTAAAATTTCAAGGGGCCAAAACAAACCAGATCAATTTTGATATGCTTCACTAGAATTACTGAATCTTTCATTCACATTTGATTCGATATTTAGGTAAATTAAATGAGAAAAGTTTAAGATATAGATATAGTATTCTCTTGAGTGTTCCCAACGAATTAATTTAGTACAGAACAAACGCCAGAAGTTTCTCTTTAGTTCTTTTATCAAGCATACAATTTCCTCGTTTTTTTTGTTTTTTATCACTATGCTCTCTATTTGTCAGTGGTTATTTTGCGGGTTTTTTTTTCTCTCTCTATTCTTACCTGTAATCTGCTGTGAAAGGGCCACCTAAAATACCACAAATAGAACACATGGCAGCCACGTGTCCTCGTCCTAGTTCAATCATCCGGGGAAGGAAGTGCTTTATTGTCTGCAGGTAAAGATAAATCAGATGTGTTTATTGTCTGCGGGTAAAGATAAATCAGATGTGTTTATTGTCTGCAGGTAAAGATAAATCAGATGTGTTTATTGTCTTCGGGTAAAGATAAATCAGATGTGTTTATTGTCTGCAGGTAAAGATAAATCAGATGTGTTTATTGTCTGCAGGTAAAGATAAATCAGATGTGTTTATTGTCTGCAGGTAAAGATAAATCAGATGTGTTTATTGTCTGCAGATAAAGATAAATCAGATACGAGTAGCGAGATATTAGTGATTTGTAACAATTTAGAATGCATCAATGAAAACTTAAAACAATATCAATAAACAACACATGACGTATATTTTCTTGGATCGTTCAATTTTTTGTTTTGTTTTTTTCTATGTACAATGAATTCAGGTTTTGTGTCTTTACCAGATTTTAAGCCTAACTACGACAACTATGAAAGGGAAGAACGAAATGTAATTGTTAAACAATAAAACATTTATATAACTAATAAAGAAAAAAGACATTTTTTTTTGTTAAAGTAAAAATCACATTTATAACTCATCCGTAGTGACTCAGCTGTAACTCTGAGGGATTATAATGCTAAAATTCAGGTTTCGATACCTATGATCAGAGTATAAATAGTCCTCTGTGACTTTAGGCTTAACAATAGACTAGCCTCATATTAATTTATAAAAGTTCTGACACGGTTCGAATGAATAATAAAGAAAACTTTATTGTAACTGCACAACATTTCGACAATATTATGTCGTCATCAAACTCAGAACAGTTACTTTAGACCGGTGGCGCCATCATTTATTGACTTAATCAAGTGTCGTGACTTTTAAACTTTAACAATGAACTCGTTGTGGGCAAGGAAAAATCCACACTTTAAATATACGTTTGCAAGAATACCCGTCAAACTATGTCCTGGACTCGAATGTTGTATGGCGTATAATAGTTCTGTTATTACAACCACCATCGGTATTTTCCCACATAAGTATGATTACATGATTAATTTTAAGGTTTCGCGAGAACTCATGAAACTATTAGTGTCTTACATAAGAAATAAAGTATAGTAAAGTAAATCAAAACAATGAAACATATATAATCATATAACCTTGAATTAAACGGTTATTCAAATCTGATTTTGTTAAGGCGGAAAAGTATGCGATATTTATGTTTGAGTATATTTTGTTTGTCCGTGAACTATGATAATACAAATTGTTTTGGGTCGTATATCAGTTAAATATTTTCTTTCCTTATCCACTCACATTAGAAAAGTATTTTGTATTACCATTTTATAAGCAAATATCGAATAGAAACTCAGCTTACTAAACAATTTGTCCTATCTGTTATAAAAGTGTAATTAGTGTAAGAGTTACTACCCAGAAATGAGCCAGTGTGTTAACCGACATGGTTCTCAGAATTTCTGCTGGTTGCAAGTCACTGAACGGTTTCAGATGTACGATACCAGCATTGTTGAAGAGAATAGTGACGTCACCAACTTCCCGTGTTACTCGAGCCGCCATAGCCTCCACCTGGTGGAAATTGGAAACATCACACTTGTAGGCGTGGGCTTCTGCTCCTAGCTGTCTGACCTCTTCGGCCACATTCTGTACTTCATTCTGTAGGTAACAAAACAAAAACATCATTCATAAATACACTTGAAATGACAATATAACTTACAGAAGGTTTGACCGTGATAATTATGTTATTTTTTTTTCTTGTCCGTTGAGTAATCCTAATGAATGTGATCACCAACAGTTATGTATATAACTGCCCTTACACTAACTTTAAATACAATTTGTTATATTAATATCTTAAATTCCTTTTAATACTGGTTTTGCTTATTTCATTAGACAGTTGTCCCCCTGTGTGTGTCGGTGGTAAGTCTACAGAATTACAACGCAAAAAATTCGTGATTCGATTTCCGGCGGTGTATAGAGTACAACTAGCCCCTGTTTTTATGTTTTGCGCAAAGAAAAACATCATAAAGCAGTGATAACAAAACCAACCATATTTGTGAGGCTGTAGCAGAAATTTGGATAAGGTGTCTTTTTACTATACCAACCACTTCTCTTCATTACTATATCCTTTTATGATAACCCTTATGTAAAGACACCACCATCAACAGTGTCACATCCTGTGA